ACCCAGCCCTGTCATAAAGCAGCCCCGTCCTTCCTGCTGTCGGCTCTGCTTGGAGTGAGGCTGGCGGGTGGGAGAGACTCAACCAAAACTTGAAGGGTCCAAAGATGTGAAGACGAGGGAAACCAAGGATGAAGAACAGGTAGATTCAAGGGCTGTGGTCCACACCTTGCTTGGATTTAAGAAAAAGATCAGGTAATACATTTTCAGAAGTCTTCCAAATCAGGAATGAGGCTGTGTGGGACTGGTTCACTTAATAAAAGGCTCCTCCCAGGTGTTGGGGAGCACAGGGTGAGGAACTGGAAGGGAGGAAAGCAGGGGAGAGCAAGGAGATGGCTGCCCAGTGGGCTCCCGGCCTCCAAGTGAGCAGTACCCGCTGGTGTGGATCTGGGTCAGGACGGTGAAGGCGGCAGGGGCAGTTCGAAGACACAGGGAATCCTCTCCCTGCTGCCCTGCGATGGCTCAGCTGCCAGGCAGACTGGAAGGTGGCCAGACAGCCAGGGCTGAGTGGGATTGGCCCTGGGAGATGGGCCAGGAGGGCTGACTCGTGACGGGATGAGCTCAGGTTCACTTTCGGGAGGGATCAGTGTCCAAGCAGATGGCATCTGGGCTGGAGGCAGCCACGAGTTAAGCCTCGTGAGACAGCTCTCCCGAGGTGGCTGTGAATCACATGTTCTAAAGGTTGCGAAGGGCTGTTGGCCTACAAAGAGGGTTCCATGGCCCAACAAGCTTGGGAAATGCCGGGTTTAATGGAATTAAACAGGTTTCTCCACTGTGGGGCATCTCAGAACCCTCAAGATGATGATGGGGACAGCCAATCGCTAAAACATGGCGGGCGGGGGTACGGTATCTAGCTTTTGATCATGACCACCGAACCCTTTCTACACAGAACACAACCTCAGATTAGTGAGCCACTGACAACACTGTCCAGTGTAGGTGCTGGGCATCCGTAGGGGGCACGGTGCTAACAGGAAAAGGATCTGGTCCCTTGTGTGTCAAGCCCCTCTGCACTGGTGAGTTCTGATTAGTTTCAGGGCCAATAGGAAGGTGGACTGAGGTTTGAGACAGATTCTATCCCTGTGGGAAACTGAAGTGCTAACTAAACAAGACACGCAGGCAGAGGTCCAGTTCTAAGGTCCAGCATGGAGGCTGGGACCCAGTGGACCTACAGACCCATGGCCTGTTGACAGCCCCACCTTAAACTAAGATCAGCCTGACAGCAACCTGTCCCCCAGCTGGAAACCTGGAGGCTCAGGCCTTTGTCAGGCTTGGCTCCGGATGTGGTAGGGGCGTGGTAGGGACGTGGTAGGGACAGCCCCAGGAGGACAGCCCGAGGAACCAGCTCAGCTGGTCTGGGTGAAATACAGGAGTTGGCAACTCACAATCACAGCTGCGTCCAGCTCCCTCAATGCAGGAGGCTCGGTCACTTCACCTGCCCAGTTTCTCCAGGTCTCTCCCTGTTCCATCCAGGCGCTGATGAAAATCCCTCTTCCCTGAAGCACAAGCAGAATGTTTCCTTAGAAAGGAAACGCAAGGATGCCAAGGACAAGAACTCACACAAGCACCTACCCGACCAGGTAACCGCAGCGCGAAAGTAACACAAACCCAGTCTCAGACGGTCGGACTGACAAAGCTTCTGGGTGCACAGACCTCTTTGGGTTTACCTTTTTTTAATTTTATTTTTTACTGAAGTGTAGCTGATTTACAATGTTAGTTTCAAGTGTACAGCAAAGTGATTCAGTTATACATACACATACATATTTATTTTTTTCTTTTCAGATTCTTTTCCTTAATGTTTACCTTCTATTCTCTGCTGTTCTTGCTCAGAAGCCCCGGTTTCCAGCAGTGGATTTCTGCTCCAGACCTGAGCACCTGGCATGTTAGTCAGTTTTGAGGTAAATCTCTCACACGCAGGCAGCAGGGATGTCATATATTCAGAACCTGGGCCACAGACCTAACCAAATCTAAATAAATGTGTGAGCTTTTATTTGGACAAGATAAGAACAGTGGGTGGAGTGTTTAATACATGTTCATCCTCACAACTGTGTGCGCCAAGTACTGCTACTCTCGGTTTCGGGATAAGGAGACTGAGGAGTTAAACATTTTGCCCTGAATGCCATGGCACATGAGCAGGGGAAGCGGGGTCGACCTCAGCACCACTTCGTGGCAAAGCAGGCACAGCCCGGATCCAGGTTCCCCAAGCGTGGGGCAGATGCTCGCCTTTCTTCCCCGAGTTCTTCTTCTGTAGAAGGAAGAGGATAATCCCTGTCCACGGGGTTCAAGGAATCATCGTGAGGATCAGATAATACAGCGAACAGGAAGGTGCTTTGAAGTGGAATGAAAACACGTGCAGGGAGCTCATGGTACCCTGTCTTTTTCCTAGATACCAAACAACTTGGCATCCCAAAGATTTCACTTTTGCTAGCTCCTGCTTACAAACTAAGAAAAGGACAAGGGCAGACAGATATGAGATGTGCCAAGAACCTGAAAGCCCACAGGTTAGGAAACAGATCCCATCATGCGAGACTTTGAACTTGAACCTTGAAGAGCCGACTCCCCCAGTCCTCACCGCTGCCTCTACCCTCAGCCAACCCTTCTCCTAAAGGCCCCAGACACTAAAAATACTCCGGCCACCTGCTGCCCAGGAAGGCAGTAAATCACTGGCCCTTGAGCACCAGAATCCAGGCCAGGCCTAACGTGGCTGAGGCTGACGCGCGCCCAACAGGGCAAGTCCCATTCCTCCCAGCCAGGCAGCCAGGGGGCTGGGAGGAGGGCGCCCCAGCAGGTGCTTCCTGGGTGTGGGGTGACTGGAGGGGTGTGTGTCCCGGGAGGAAACAGGGCTCCCTGGGAAAGAGCAGGGACTCCTGTGGTGACAGGCCACTGTTTTACTATATAGAACAAGGTCATCTCATCAAGATCCACAGATCAGCCACTCATTTACTGTCCTGTTACCCCAGGGCCACCAGATGTCACTGTTAAAGGGAGCATGAATATTTGTGGGCCGACTTCCGGACAGACACTGAATCTTAATGAAGCCCGCTTCTTGCTTCCAGTTCTTAGTGAGGATCCCACCCCCGGGGACTGAAATCAGTCCGACTTCCAAAATGTAACCACGAAATGCCAAAAACCTGTTTCACGGTTACTCTACAACACGGTGAATCAGAAATGAGAGGCCCAGACAGAATGTTCAATTTATTTTTAACTAAAATGCATCATCAACAAATACATTTGTGGAGAACAAGAGGTAGTGTGCTGTGCTGGAGTGATGCTCAAATTAGAAAAAGTGGGGAACCCTGAGAGCGTGTCCTCCACTTTTGTCACCCCTCCCCCTGGAAAAGCCACTGCATTAAAGTTAACTGTTGTCACCCAACCACTTGGTCCAACCAGTGAAAAATACTAACAGGACAAAACAAAACTCAAAATCAAAACAATGAAATTGAGAGGCTATTCAAATACAATGAACGGACCCAGATGATCAGAAATACCCTGAAGTTAAATTTTTTTAACCATTAAAAAAAAATCCAGAAAACGGAGTAATTTTCACAGCTTGTAGGTCCCGGGAACACGTCTAACACTGTTGGACTAGAAAGAGCACTTTCAATTCACTAGGTTCTAGTTCGCTGAAAAGCTCTGTGGCCTTGGGCAAGTTATCTAACCCCGCTGAGCCTCTGTCTCTTGGTGTATGAACTGGACCTGTTGAAGGCCCCTCTAAACAATACATGATTCTAGGATTCTAAGTGTGGCCTTGCGGGACCCCCGTGCAGTTGGGAAGGTGGATGTCAAAAATAAAAACAATACAGGGCGACTTAAGTGACACAGACAAGGACTGCAAGAATTCAGAGCCCTCCCCTCCTGACAGCCAGGGGACCGAGGGTAGGCTTCTGGAGGGGAAGGGATTAAACACCTAAAACGTAACACTGAAACATGCTCCGCACACTTGATCTCTCCCTGGAAGAGCTGGGAGGTGGCCAATCCAATATTTTAAGATGTCAACTTGATCTGTATAGACATAAACATCTAAGGAAACTGGTCTCCAAAAATAAATGATAATGCTACTTCCCTGTAAGTGCATGAGTTTCTCAAGAATGGGGGCGTGTTCTGTAATGCTATCCAGTCAGTTGTGTGTGTTCATGCAGATCGGCTACTTTTTGGATGATAAATCTGGGGCAAGGGAGAGAGGGAGGAAGGGGAGAGGTTAAATCCTCCTTCAGATGTTAAAAATCTCCCCCAAATGTTGATACGTGCACAGACACCAGCTTGGGAAGTGGAAATTACATTTGTAATAGCAGTTCTGTCTGATGATACTGGGGTAATTATTAGTTTTTTCTTTTTGCTTATCTGGATTTTCCATTTTTCAGCAACAGACATGTAGCATTTATATAATACACTTTTTAATACAAATAAATACATTTGGGAAGGATAATACCTCAAACCACTCTCAGTTAGTTGCACCTTAATGTTAATTAATGGATGTGATCTGCTTCCCACAGTGAAGGGTGGTAGGATACAGATTTTGTTAGGTCTTGACTGCCAGGGGGTCAAGGAAGTGGGGAAAGTGGCGAGAGGATGTAGAGATTCTAAAAGGGCAGCTCGGGGAGGAGGCCTGCCTCTCAGTTAGCTCAGTCCTGCCAGGCCCTCCCCTCCCTATAACCTCAAGGGCATTTTATTAAAATTAAGGACAGCAATCTTAACCTTAACAGTTAACCTTTCTCATTCAAGGCTTTGCCCAATTATTCTCACCATAAATTAGTTATTTTTAGATCCAAACTCCAGCTTTCATAACAAACAAAGGTTCATGGATTTTAAGAACAATTTGAAAAGAAAGAAAACTAAGGATTCTCTTCCAAGCTTCTTGCATTTTGGTTTCCATCAAGCGTTTTTTGGACGAAGCTTTATGTCACCATTTCATATTGTAGTCTGTAGACTTTTCCTGGAGCCCCCAGGCTAGCACTTCAGGAGCTGTAGAGCCAACATCATTAAATACAAGAAAACATCACTTAGACTCTGATTTTAGATAGTTCATATTGATACTTGCCTTAACGTTATCTGGAAAGGAAGAGTTTGCGAAGGAAATTTACAGTGTAAACAACACTGGGGAGGGACGGACGGTTTGTAGGAACCTAGTTCCCTTCAATATAAGCAATTCATAACTTATTGCAAATCATTTTATATACCCATCAAAATATGCCTTCTATGGCTGGCTCCTAGGAAACACTGAAGGTAGTACCTGTTTAGAAGATGCTGTCAAATATAAGCTGCATCACGTTTTTGAAAGAGAAAACACCGTCAACTCAACTATGACACATCAACTGTAAAAACGCATTCTAACTTTCTAAATGTCATCATGGGTGTAGAAGACACCTATCTTAGAACTAATGAAATACAGTGTGACCTCTCTCACCTTGCCCCTGCCTCCCTGTCACAGGGAGATGGGCTTCTGTTCACAGTGACCTGTTAGGCTTTCATAAGGGGACACCAACACTTCTCCCAACTCACTTAATGGTTAAAACATTTAGATCTGTCCTTACTTGTCAGTAGTGTATCTGTCTTCCAAGTTCCTTTCAGAGTCTATAATCTCCACTTCTTTCCCATCCAATACTCAGCAAAAACTCAATTGAGAGAAATCATGTTTTCAGGACCGTCTGCAGGACATGCGGCCCATCCATTTTTCTCTACTGTTTACCCTTGGATTGAGCCAGATCAGCAGAGAGCAAAATACTGGAAACAACTAGGTAATCCCTCATAGAAAGGCTTTTATAAACTCTCTCTGGCATCCTGCCTTCAGCCCACGTGGGGGACACTGTTAGACACAGCCTGAGATGTAATAAATCTTTTGCCAAGGACACAGCGTCCTCTTCATCAGGACCCACTTGGAGACATGTTTCAGGTCTTCATACCAGGAATCTTTACAAATAAACTTTAAAAATCGAAGTATAACAAATATAGAGGAAAGCACACCATTCATAAAGATCCAGCTGAATGAATTATCACAAATTGTAACCACTGCTCAAATGAAAAAAAACCAGCACATTACCAGCATCTCAGAAGCCCCTTCATGACTTCTCCCCATGACGAAGGTTTCCCAAAGGCAACCTCTATCCTGATTTCTGACACCGTAGTTTTATCTGTTTTGGGACATTACATAAATGAATTCATACAATATGTATCAGTTTAGTCTGGCTTCCTTCATTTATAAGTCTGTGATATTCATCCATGCAGTCATAGGCAGAAGTAGGTTGTTAATTTTCATTCCTGTGATTTTCATTGTAAAGTAGTCCATTGTATGTTTATACCACAATTTATTCATTTAGGTTGTTTCTGGTTTGGGGCTATTACGAATAATGCTGCCATTCTGGTACACACGGTAAGCACTTTTGGGAAGCATACCTAAGAGTCAGACGGCTAGGTTTTAGGGCATGCATGTGTTCAGTTTAAGTTATTTCAAAGCAGGTTTCCTCTTTACAGTCTACAAGCACTGTATGAGAGTTCCAGCTGCTCCACATCTTCACCAGCACTCTTCACTGTCAGTCTCTTTATTTTTAGCCATTTTGATTGGTGTGTAGCTACATCTTATTGTGACCTTAATTATCATTTTCCAAATTCCCTTCTCGTTTGTGAAGTATTTATTCAAATATTTTGTCAACTTTTTTTTATTAGACTGCATATCTTTTTCTACTTGATTTACCCACTGGGATAAATCTTTTGTCAGTGAAATGTACTACAAATATCTTCTACCTTCTGGCTTCCTTTTTCACTCTCCTAATGTTGGATTTTGATGAACTGAAGTACTTACTTTTAATGTAGTCAAACTTTTCCAATTTTTTGTATCCTTTTTAGAGAGTATGTTCTTCCATTTTTTTTCTTCTTGAAGCTCACTTACAAATTCCTCTATTATCATTTTTGGTTGGCTTCACAAATTTGGTAAAATGCAAATGCAAAACAGAATTTTGTTTCTGATTTCACTTTAGTAACCAAAAGACTGGTGGGAAGATCAAAAGTTGAAGCAACAACCTGTTCTTTGGAATAAAAAAATAATATAACCTGCTCTATGGCATTTCATGAAAATTTATTAATGTAGAACAATGCTAGCTGTAAAAATGTATAATTAAATGTGTTATTATTATATATTAAAATGTATTCTGTTCCCTATATCACCATTTAATTGGAAAAAAAAACAACAACAAAAACTTGCCACCTTACAATCAATCTGAAATTGATTTAACTGAAATCAATTAGGCTGTTCAAGAACAATATAAAAAGAAAGTGTAGACCGGAATGTGTTACATTTTTGTCAAAACAAACAGGTTTGACTCATTCTGGCTCATAAAGCAAGATGATTTTAAAAATTTACTGGAACTTTTTGCCTGAATTGGTTCCTCTGTGATGCATTTTCTTGAGTTCCTCCCATGACTGCCACAGTAACAGTCCCGGGATCAGAACCCACACACCATTGAAAAATACCAGGTAGACCCAAAAGTAGAGCCGACTGTTGGTATTGAGGTTGGGGCTTCCCATAAGCCAGTCTGGGCAGAAGGTCATCCACCCGCCATACAACTCACACACGCACAGGGTAATCTGTATGAAATGCCTGTTAGAGAGAAAGAGACAACGGCTGAAACTGTCAGCTTGACACAGTTTGGCACCAAATCATGACATCTTTCCTTTAATGGCAGCATCAACACAGTCTTCCACAGCAGAAACCCTCCCTGAACGTGGGCCCCAGGTGTTGTGTAGTGCTCCTCTGCTGGTGCAAGTTGATAATTAAGGAAGACCCATGCCTTCCTTAGAAAAGCAATACTACGCTTTCTAGAAGACTGTTCTCAGAATTAAATTAGGTCTCTTGGGTATCCTGTCCTATTCGTCAGAAGATTTAGTGAGGTCACATCTGACCCAGTAAAGATGGGAATCTCTCTATGAGCCACAATTTCACCCGTTGTAAAAGGGATAATTTGAGTCCCTTCCTCGAATAATACTGTGGAGATTAAAATGAGACACACAGATAAAGGAATCAGCACTGCGCCCAGCACATAGTAAGTAAACAATACACATGTTATAAATGTTTGAAATAATAAACAAATAGGCACATGTAGGAAATCTACAACCGAGATCATAAAGTCAGAGACACCAAAGAGAAATTTAATTTTTTTCTGCCAACTCTCTATGTAAAACTGGGTGAGAGAAAGAGGATTAAATGACCCTGAGGTCTCTTCCAAATCTGAAATTTCATGAAGCTTTCCATTAAGACTTCTTCTTCGAAACAAGAGGGTGGAAAATTGAATGTCACTGTGCCTACTTGACATTGTTTTAGGGAATCATCCCCAGGATAGCAATCTATTTGTCCCAGGTCATTTTGTCCCTAAGAAGGAGAGGAGGGGAAGGGAGGGAGGAAGCAGAGCTCAAAGTTTCAGAGTCTGATGGATGGATGGATGGTTAACCTGCCACCTTCCTCCTTCCTCTCCCCACTCTCTGCCTTCCTCACGCCCTCCACATCCTGCTTGTGAAAAGATCTCTTATTTATCTTGCATGTCTAGCACAGAATTACATAAGAGATTTGTCTTTGTGTCAGGTGAAAAATTGGAAAAGATTTTCCTGGAATGATTTGGGGTGGATGGAAATATTGGGGGGAGGATGGAAATATTACCCTTTATTCTCCAAAACATTGGTAGCAAAGCATCCAATGTTGTTAACACTGTGCTTGCCTATATAGCACTGAAACTTTCACTATAATTGTAGTTCTCATTTTTTTTTTAAATTTTGAACCATCTGAAATGATCCTGGTAGTACCATGGTCCTTATATCAGACAATTTTTGTTTCTACCCTACTTTTCGTCTAACAAAGAACTGTGGTCATTATCTTCTCCAAATGTCACTCTGGCATTGGGACAGCTAATGTTTCTCCTCTTTTCATCAGGATAGGAGAAAGCGCACTTACCTATAACATTTCTCTTTGATGATGGCATAAATGAGGACCAATGCCAGACACCCATCCAGGACAACAGTCGTAATTTCCAAAGACACAATAGTTGGATCAAAATAGAGCCATCTTGCATCAGCTTTGCTGTATTCTTTCCCTAAAAACAAGATACATTTTGTTACGTGTTTGGCAATCATTTTTATGACATTCAATGGAAATGACCATTCCCCCCCATCCCGAGGAGGAGATAAAGAGCAACTGCCGCTCTCTCTATAGTCATCAACATGCCTTAGTGGAAGCAGGAAAAGCCCTGAGACAAAAACACCTTTGCCACCTGACACAGGTAACAACAACAATATCGTGTTGTATTTGAAAAATAATTTGCAGTTTCCACAGTGCTTTTACATATGGGCCCTTTTTACCTCCTCCCTTTTCATCATAAGCAGAATTCTAAATTAATTCAACATGGATTTTGCAAAGACAATCTTTTACAATTATCTTGGTAAATGCATTATAATTCCTTACTTCAAAATTTCAATACAAAGTCTGTAAGTATATGTCAGATATGGGAAAATTATTATTAAGAAAGTGTTTTTTTTTTAAAGATGTGTTTATGAATAATCAAAGAGAAATTAAGTGCTGAGGGGGCAGCAGGGAGGGGAACAATATAGCCTGGATGACAAAATAAATCCAGAATGGACAAAGAGGGCATTTCAGTCCTGCTACAGGAGCCGGAACTAACAACAGACACCACAAGAGCCTCAATTGTGCTGACCGGGGGGAGTGGGCATGCCCTAAGAAATCTTTCCTGACCCCATTATCTGGATGGTTTCTTATAAAAGTACCACGAGGCCAGAAAGTCTTTTTACAGCTGGACTCTCTCTCTCTCTTTCTTTTTTTATTAAAGTAATATGTGCTGGTCCTAAGATCTCAAATAACCACAGGAAAAAAACCCCAAAGTCCCCACCTCTTTTCTCCCTTTAAATACTGCTCCCACATTACTTAGAAAAGGTACGAATGGTCAAAAATTATCTATGTGATCTGATGGGTCTGAGCAGCACAAAGGTCTAGTTTCTTAATGGCTAGAGTTAGGATCCCTCTGGGACCAGGGACAAAGGGTTCTGATGAAAGACTGTCCCGACAGAAAGGACAGGCCAGTAAACAGGATTAGCTATTTAATGAGATAACACACAGACACACGCTGAGGGGAGATTCTGTGAAAGGCCAGACGCAACCCACAGACCAGGGGGAGCCGTCCGGCGTGTCCTTAGCCTACGGCCAGCCATGGACCCAACTAGAACCACGTAACGGTGAAAGTAAAAGCTTTCTCTCTAAATTTAAACATACATTCAACAGGTGAAATGTACCACACAGTGCACCCAAAACTTAAGAAAATACCGCAAGTAAAAGGTCAATGCTTTAGGAACTAAGAGATCAGTGGATGTTTAGATGTTCACAAAAATAACCCCACTCATTCATTCTTTAATTCATGTAAATAGAATCACACAATATGGGGTACAAGTACTCGTTTAATTGATAGCCACACTTGCAATGAATCCCCTCAAACATGGCAAAATGCAAACATTTAAAATTACTTACACAACGAAGCAATCAAGGCGTCAGAATCTGCGATGTTTCCTACCAAAGACAAGTAGACAAAAGGGCCTTCCTGGAGAGAAGAAGACAAAAACATGCTCTAATTTAGCATCACAGCCACAGGAAGGCACCACAGATGCACCTGAGTGCACGTCAGCACCCCTGCACCCCAGGAGTCCACATCCCAGTCTGCAGCCTCAGCGCTGGTGTGGGGATCCAGGAGCCTGGTTCCCTGACTGTGAAAATGGGTATTTCCAAACCGCATGTTTTTATAATATGTGCTAGTTTGCAATGATTGATACTGTAAAATCAGAGGTATGTCTGATGGGGAAAAAATAATTTGAAAATACTGCACAGGGAAGCGCTTAGATATTATAAGCTAAATTCCGGATTATTCCAGGGATTTTACACCTTTGGAAAGTACCTCACAGCAATTCATTTTGTCTCATCCCCCTCCCAAAAAATCCAAGATCTTTCTTAACAGAAGTGGCATTCAAATATCTCTATCAGGGTTGAACATTTTCCTGAATGAGGGGAAATTTAGGAAAATTAAAAATGCTTACAGGCTACCTTTGAAATTTCAGGTAATGAAGTATCTGTAATTATGCTTAGTATTTCCCCATCACTGAAATAGTTCTTTGCCTAAAATTTCCAAAACTAATTAACTAGACTTCACAGGGGTATCTGATTGTTATGTTGCTCCTTTGAACAGATTTTGTTGCTGGTCAGTACAGCTTTTTCCCCCTCATTTCTTTTTACCAAAACCACTTTTGTGACATCAAACCTGTGTCCCTGCCTGATCCCTAAGCTGACTTCTAGTTCATCTCCCCAGAGGCCGCTGCTTTCTACCAGTTCTGTCTGAAGCTCCGGCAACTGTAACTCATGATACGCTTACACTGCTGTATCTTCAGACATTGTCAGTTAACTGCCCATCCTGAAAAATTAGGATCTAATTTACACTGCTTCCCCTCCCCCTTCCTCCTTCCAGGTTTTGATAGCGTAGGGGAGGAAAAACGTCCTTCTGCCCTCTTAGGTTCTGCAGCTGGCCTACAAATTAACTGACGTAGATTTAACAGGAGAAAAGCTTTACTCATTTTATTTATTATGTTTACATGGACACGGGAGTCTCTGAAGGGAAAATGAAGACCTGAATTAGCGTACAGGCCCCAAAACTCATATCCCCTTTTACACAAAGACAATAAATTGCAGGGATGTGACGAGACAAGGGGGCTTGGGCTAAGGACAGTAAATTGTGAGACAGTGACTACATATGAGGGAAAGTAATGGGAGAGTATTTTAGCTGGTTTGTTTGTACAGGACCATTTCAGCACTGACCTCCAGTCCCCAGCGGTAAGAACATTCTTTTCTTCCTGGTACAGGGAGGGTACCTTTCTTACGGGAAATCCCTAAGTAGGGGCCACTATCATAGGACTCCTAGAGCAAGATCTGACAATCCATCATGGGAACAAGGGGTCTGCAGCCAATCTTGCCTGCCTCCACTCTCTCATCGCTTGACAAACTCCTCTTCAGTCTTTAAAACCCCAATGACTCCTCTCCTTGGTGCTCCCTCTAGACCAGGACACAATTCTATCACTCACTCACCAGAATGCATGATAATGGTTTATTTCCCTGTCGGTCTCTCCCACTAGCAAAGCTCAGCTGCAGGACTTTGTGTGATTAACACAATTTACACAGATTACATGGATGGTGAGCTTTGATAAGACAATTCTAGGCTGCACCTCCAAGCTTTGCACAGCTATCTTTGAATCATGTAGTGTTGGTCGGGTCTCCTAGTTTCTTTGTCCTCAGATTTTCCCTTGATATAACAGAGATGAAATGGGTCCGGACACATGGTTTGCAAAGGTCTTTGGGTAAAACATTCACTACATGGAGAAAATGCTCTTGTTTGATAGAAGAAATAGACCTGGGGCAGGTCTGGTGGGCCAGTGTAGACCTGGATGGTGTACTGGTTCTTCACAGGGACCCTGCCCTTGTGCTTTATGTAAAAAGGGAGCCAAAGAAATGCGCAAACACTTGGCTTTACTTCATAAAGTAGGCCATGTACCGTTAGCATTGGCAACTATTCAATTCTTCCCCAAGACAGCTCTAAGGCTTGCGATCCTTCCCTACACCACCGAGCCCTGGTGTGTCCCACCACAGGAAGAACATTCAGATAAAAGCCAGGAAAAGAACACAGTGAAAAGTGGTGAGCAGGGGTTCTAGGGAACCGATGGTCCATCTCTGGAAGGTTCTGTGATGCTAAGATTGGCCTCCCTTATCCTACAAGAAGACTCGGTGAGAAATGTGGATTGACAGCCGCAGGTCCAGCACTGTAGGCTGCGCTACCTGCAGTTGAATCTCCACCAGTAACAGACTCAATGCAAAGCTGAGCCAGGCAGAGGCAGGAGGCAGCCGCCCATCTTCAGAATGAGACCAGCTCTTCTGGGCCTAAAGATTCTTTGGGGGCTTCTGAACCAGATCTCTTCTAAGCAAACAGAGGCCTAAGATCAAAGTCACTGAAAACATTAGTTACTATTTGCCAAGCACAGTCATACATACATTCGTACATCTTCACCTTTTGACAGAGTGTCCCCTACTGACTGGAAGCCCTGAACGCAGACCTTGGTCCGCTGACCACACTGAAGAGGCCCATGAGCAGTGGCCCGGGTGGGAGTGCCTGTCAGCACAGGGTCCGGTGTGCGGGGAGGGGGCCCCGGGGAGGGTGTGGGGTCAGGGCCTGTTTGAGCCCCAGCGTTTCCAGTGGGCATGTGTTGTGGGTTCTATGCCTGCCAGTGCCCATCAGCCATGGGAAGGCCAAGCTTGTGGCGACCACCAGGACAGACCCCCCCGACTGGCCAGGCAGGAAGATGTCTTCAAGAATTCCTGAGCTTCTGTCATTCCTACGATCGTCTGAGGGGCATACAAATGCCCTTAACAAGCATAATCTGAATTTTTAGAGACAGACTTACTCTGGGCAGAGGGGGAAATGACAGGGTGTCTGCATTCCCTTTAAAATACTTCAGCAATAACACAAGAAAAAAGAAGGGAGGGAGAAGGGGAGGAAAAAGGGGGGAAGGAGGGAGGAGAAGAAAAAAGTGACCAGTGAAGCAAGTGCAGCAAAATTTGAAAACGCCAAACCAGCTCATTACACCATTCTCTCTCTGTTTGTTGAAACTTTTCATAGAAAAACTTGATTTTAAAAAGATACCTAGCAGCTTGGCAAGACAACTGTTGCCCCTAGCATTTCAGGACCCCGGGGTCCCAGAGGCCCTCTGCCTTCATGCTTCTAACACACGAGCGGGGCCCCTGGACCACAGTCGTGAGCCTGAGGCTCAGCTCGCCCAGGTCCTCGCCAGAATTTAAAATTTTTAAGTTCTTTGTATCAGGAATTTTGCTTTAAAAAACATAGGAAAGTTTACATTGGATGCTCTCAAATACAATTGAACTATACGTATCTAAGTGAGTTGCTAACAACATGCTAAAAGATTTTGAGCTTAAAAGCTAAAATGTATCACGGCAAATAAATTAAGTAACTAAGGCCAGTATCATTTTTTCACTTAAGGTGTTTCAGAAATGTAATTTTAACAACGTATTCTATAGACTTTAAGACAGCTGCAAGCCAAAAAAAAAAAAAAAAAGCTTGATCTGGGCAAGCTTCTGTTACCTATAATTCAATGACCATTTCACTCAATGACCACTTTAAGGAATGCCCAATTTACTCATTTCACCCTTAAAGAAAAATTTAGCAGCAAAAAGGCTTTTTAGAAATAAAAGAAGAACACATATTTTATTTTTTGTCATTTGGGTTTGTATTTGTAAAGGCTGAATTTGTATTTAAATGTATTTGCAAGGTTCTTTTTTTTTTAAGTGCATTGAATGAAGAACCAGAAAAACAGTGCAATGTTCATTAATTGTGAGAGAATAAAGCCGAGTAAGAATAGAATCAAGTATGTAAACCCTGTCAAAATGTATTAGCATTTCCTAATCTGACTCACAAAATCTCAGCCTAATCAGACTTGATTTTCCATGTCATGGTAACAGTCTACATCATTGTTTCTGGAAGGATCAGCTGCTTCAGCCTCCGAGGGCACCTCGATGACAAGGCTTTAGTGACTTCACGCATCTATGCCGCCCAGCTGTCGTCCACTTAATGACACGACGACTTCTGTTTGATGGAACCTGCCCCAGCAGATGGGCTGTCGCCTAATATTAACAATGGGCCTGCTGGTCCTTTCAGAACTTTGGGTATCAAACAGCCACACAAGCTCTATTGTTCCTACAACATGGCAGCTTAGTGTTTGATTTAGGACTTGAAAAACATCTCTCCCTTTTTAAGAATATACCCTTCTCTGCTGAGACAGTTGCTGCTTCTCAGATAAGAGATTTGAAATCTTTCAAGGCTCATCTTAATTGGACATGTGTATGATCCCACTATTACACAGGGATGGGAGGAAAATGAAAAGTTAGTCCACATAAGGAGGATGGCAAGGAGGGGGTCACAAAAGGGACAGAGGCAGAGTGAACCCTGACTGAACTCTGCTAAATGCCAGGCCCTGTGCCAGAGGTCCCACATCCCTGCTATTCAAATGTGGTCCACCCACCACAGCATGGGCACCCTGGGAGCCTGTGACAAGGGCCGATTCTGTGACCCCACCCCAAACCACGGAGTCAGGGTCTGCACTGTAAACAGGTGCCCAGTTGATTCCTGTGCAGTCAAGTTTGAGAACCACTGCCCTCAATTATAAAGTTTTATTTAGCCCTCACAACAACCACTTGAAGAAAATATTATTTTCCTACTTTATAGATATGACCCCAAAATTCTGCTGAAATCCTACTTCTAAAAGACATGGTATTAGGAGGTGGGACCTTTGGGTGGGACCGTGAGGAATGGGATCAGTGCCTTTTAAAGAGGCTCCAGAGAGACCCGGAGCCCCGCCCACCAGGTGAGGACGCAGGACAAGGAGCCAGCTAGGAGCCAGTGAGCGGGTCCTCAGCTGACCACGCTGGCGCCCCAATCTCAGAGTGCACCCTCTGGGACCGTGAGAAATAAATGTCTGCTGTCTAGAAGCCATT